AATATATACACTAGTTTGATGGTGAATGGACTAGTTCAAGCAATTGGTTCTGCGCACAACGTCAAGCGCGCTCTTCGCCGCTAGAGCCGACATGCATCTCCCGAGTGTATTCCAGCGGATCGGAAATTAGTAACTTGTTCTGACTGGTTTTGCTACAAAATATTTGCGGCTAATTGCTTATCTTATAGCATATTCACTATTTCCTCTTAATCCTGGTCATCACCTGGAGGCTTGAATCAATGGTTCGCTGATCTTCTCCCAGCTGGCCGTCCTCGCTTCTTCTCACCATGGACCACGTATTGCACTGTGTAAGGACTCAGCCCAAGATAATGAACTGGTCATCGTCAGCACTATGACGTTTTTGCTAGCAAGATCGTGTCCGTCTGTCTCCTTGTTACGAGCTGTCGTTGACACATGTACAAGTAACAGTAGACCTGTGCCTATCAGTACAAAGGTAGGCTGCGTATAAAAACTATGGGTCAGCACCATTTTTCCAGGCCAACAGTTTCACTTCCTAGTATGCCCTCTACAACCATCATCACTAATGTCCGCGTCTTCGACGGGCAGGCGCTCACGCCTCCTCAGGACACTCTCATCTCCGGCACCACCATTGCTGATCCCTCGTCTCTGTCCGCACCCGACAAAACCATCGACGGTACAGGTCTGACCCTACTTCCCGGCCTCATCGACGCCCATGTCCACATCTCCGATCACGAGGAGCTGCGCACGCTTGCCACGCACGGCGTCACCACCGCGCTTGACATGGCTGCCTGGCCCGCGGAACGCATCAACGCCCTCCGCAACCAGCGCGGCCTGACCGACATCCGCACAGCGGGCGCGCCCGCGAGCACACCCAACAGCACGCACACGTGTCTGTTGCATCTACCCGAGTGCTCTCAGCTCACTGGCGCCGACATGGCAGAGGCGTTCGTAGAAGATAGGATCCGGGAGGGCAGCGACTACATCAAGCTTATCGCAGACGTGCCAGGGCCCTCGCAGGAGTTGCTCGACGCCCTGGTCGCGGCGTCAGAAAAACGGGGCCTGCTCACGGTCGCGCACGCTGCTATGTCCGTGCCGTATGCGATGGCGCAGAAATCTGGGGCAAGGGTAATCACGCACGCTCCGCTTGACGCGCCCCTATCTTCCGCGAACGCAGAGCAGATGAAGGCAGCAGGACGTGTCGCCGTACCGACGCTCACCGCCATGGTTGCCGTTTCATCCATCAAGCGCCCGCCCATGCCTTTGCCGGGTACGGGCCCTATCTCCGGTGGCCCGCCCACTTCTACACCACAGATGCCTGTTGTGCCCCCGCGCAAACCGGATTACGCCAACGCGCGCGAAAGCGTGCGTGCGTTGCGTGCCGCCGGCGTACCTATTCTCGCTGGTACCGACGCCGTTGCGCAAAAGGCTAATGCGCCTTTCTTCGTGCCGCACGGCGCGAGCCTGCACGAGGAGCTTGTACTCCTGTGTGATGCGGGCCTGTCTAACGTGGAAGCGCTCCAGGCTGCGACAATCTTGTCGGCGCGGTGGTTTGGGTTGAAGGATAGGGGTAAGATTGAAGTGGGCATGCGTGCTGATCTGGTGCTTGTGCGGGGCGATCCAGTTCAGGACATCAAGGTGACGAGAAATGTTGAGGCGGTGTGGTGCAATGGCATCCGAGTCGATCTGGAGAAGGAGTAGCTAAAGTACTGAATCAAGTAGTATCGCGCGTTATTAGACGCGTCATTCATAAGTGTAATGGCCGTGGTTAGGCCCTTTGTATGTATCAGTCAGTCCATTCATTGCAAAGCACAAAGTGAAGACTGCTCCAGTCTTCGATATGAAGGTGGGGCAGGAACATCATGTAGGGGTCTTGTTCTTCCTTCGATGGTTTCTACGGCTTAGCGCCCGAATCCACAGAGTGATCGGGTTTGGCGCCCGTCTGGTTTTGGACGTTGTCTTAACTCCTTCTTCGCTTCTTACATGTGTAATTTTGCGCTCAAGGTAATTCGGCTTTCTACGTAAGTTCGATGAATTTACCAAAGTAGGTGAGGGAACATGGCTCGGCCAATGAATGGTACGGGAGCAGGCTATCGCAATGATGGGCGTCACTAGAAATAGATTAGCGGCATACCAAATGAGCCCTTGTTTGCACATTTATTTAGTATTTGCGCTTATGTAGGTTTAAGCATTGGAGCGTCTGTACCTGCTCAATGGTTTCAGCATCCGAGCCGGGAGCTCTCCGCTCATTCAAGTTGCCAGCGGCTGCAGTTAGAGGAGGACGCTCTGAGACGCGCTGACATTTCTGTCTGTTATATTTGGAGTGACAGTGAGAACATTGATTAGGTGAGATAGATTGACAGTATTCAAGCAAGCTTGGATGAATTACACGTTTGACAGCACAACTCTGAGCTCAGAAGGCGATCTACGGGGGCTTCCTGAGAGGATAAGTAGCTTTTGGCTGGAATCGAGAAGTATTTATGGAAGTGATGATGGGGATATCAAGGCTCGCCTCGAGTCTCAGTGCCACCATCTCTTGTTAAAGGGAAGGACATGACGTTGAGCAAGGTTTCCGAGTTGTTGAGTCGTTCCAAAAGGTGCTCGTCGAAGCAGTTGTAAAGCAATGATGATGACCTCCAGAGGCTCTTCATTGTATAGATTGTCCTGTAACGTTAACATTTTGTCTAGATGCTCACAATAGTATGTCTGATAATATATGGAATATATACACTAGTTTGATGGTGAATGGACTAGTTCAAGCAATTGGTTCTGCGCACAACGTCAAGCGCGCTCTTCGCCGCTAGAGCCGACATGCATCTCCCGAGTGTATTCCAGCGGATCGGAAATTAGTAACTTGTTCTGACTGGTTTTGCTACAAAATATTTGCGGCTAATTGCTTATCTTATAGCATATTCACTATTTCCTCTTAATCCTGGTCATCACCTGGAGGCTTGAATCAATGGTTCGCTGATCTTCTCCCAGCTGGCCGTCCTCGCTTCTTCTCACCATGGACCACGTATTGCACTGTGTAAGGACTCAGCCCAAGATAATGAACTGGTCATCGTCAGCACTATGACGTTTTTGCTAGCAAGATCGTGTCCGTCTGTCTCCTTGTTACGAGCTGTCGTTGACACATGTACAAGTAACAGTAGACCTGTGCCTATCAGTACAAAGGTAGGCTGCGTATAAAAACTATGGGTCAGCACCATTTTTCCAGGCCAACAGTTTCACTTCCTAGTATGCCCTCTACAACCATCATCACTAATGTCCGCGTCTTCGACGGGCAGGCGCTCACGCCTCCTCAGGACACTCTCATCTCCGGCACCACCATTGCTGATCCCTCGTCTCTGTCCGCACCCGACAAAACCATCGACGGTACAGGTCTGACCCTACTTCCCGGCCTCATCGACGCCCATGTCCACATCTCCGATCACGAGGAGCTGCGCACGCTTGCCACGCACGGCGTCACCACCGCGCTTGACATGGCTGCCTGGCCCGCGGAACGCATCAACGCCCTCCGCAACCAGCGCGGCCTGACCGACATCCGCACAGCGGGCGCGCCCGCGAGCACACCCAACAGCACGCACACGTGTCTGCTCCATCTACCCGAGTGTTCACAGCTCACTGGCGCCGACATGGCAGAGGCGTTCGTAGAAGATAGGATCCGGGAGGGCAGCGATTATATCAAGCTTATCGCAGACGTTCCTGGGCCCTCGCAGGAGCTGCTCGATGCCCTCGTCGTGGCGTCGGAGAAGCGGGGCATTCTGACAGTGGCGCATGCTGCTGGGGTCGTGCCGTACGCGATGGCTCAAAAGTCTGGCGCGAGGGTAGTCACGCACGTTCCGCTTGACGCACCCCTATCTTCCGCAGATGCGGAGCAGATGAAGAACGCAGGACGTG